TGCTTCGGGTGTCGGAAACACTGCAGAAATGAAACTGGCTCGAAAATGAAACTGAAAACATTAAAGAGGCAATTGAATATGGGATAAAAACGAACCTTTTTATGGGGTTGTTTATTAAACACACGATACATTGCAAGTTCAGCACACAGCGTCTTGCCTGAACCAGTTGGCGCACCGATCAGTGCGTTTTGATCAGTGTTGTAGAGGCAGTAGAACACCTTAACAGCAGTATGAATAATAATAATCACGATATGCACCTCAACACCAACATCATCGACAATTTCTAACGATGACAATACGGCTGCCGATACATTTGACAGATTTTGCTAGCAAAACTTTTAGTGTGCATCAGTTATTTAGCCCATTCAACAAAGCAAAGCAAATGGCTAGTTCAAAAAATACACATACGACTGCCAATACATTTGACAGATTTTACTGTTTTTTTTAACTGGCGCTTTTCAAATCCATCTTCAACTGTTGAAACGCAGCTACTCTGAGCTGACTTTACTTCCACTGATAATCGGTTGGTAAACAAATGAACAACTGCGTTTGAACCTGCGTTTGAATTGGATTGAAGTATTCGAAGCTATAGATTGACTCGTACGACGCATTCTTGAGTGCTTTTATTGGTAGTGGATCGAGATCCAGTAGATCTGAAGCATTGATGAATTGGTGGAATATTGTTACGAAGGTTTCGTTCCTTTCTTTTCACCAATAACTGACAATTTTCTCAGATTTATTAATAAACAAACCAATTTAATTGCTTCTCTCGAAAGGAACCATATGATGAGCCGTATATATTGTCTCGAAGTGGAATATTCGAAGATTTTCAAACATTAAAGATAAAAATAAATAAACCGACGAACTTAAATTTGCAACAAACCTGTATGTGGTCGATGTGAATAGGGTAGTACACAGTTATGCATAGATATTGGCAGAACACTATCATCAACAACGTAATAATCACTCGCTACTCTCACTTGATAATTATGTGATAACTGCTGATCACGAATCGGGATTGTGAAGATCATAGTTTGTGACTCACCAAATTTAACCTAATAGTATATCTGTTGTGTTTATGGGATGATTATAAGCAATCAAAGTATATATGTGTAATTAAGATAATGATGAATTGCATCAAAAATGACTGATAGTAATGAGAAGCACCGGTCATTGATTATAATCGTGTTCAAAAAATTGATACCATACTTCAGTCGCTATACTCGCAATTTTACAGAAAAGAACGAACAATGAACTGTGATACAAACAAACGAACCTTCTTTTTGTTCACGATCAATTTTTCGAAATGAATAATCATATTTTCATTGATATTCTCGATAAACACCCAAAAACTTTGGGCACCTTTAGAGCCAAGGAAATGGTCGTTCCATGTAAATCCGGGCGTTAAAGATAGCGTAATTTGAATTATGGTACTGAAATTTTTTGATTTTATTTAGGAGCAAGACTGCTGATTGCAGTGAATCAATACTGTTGCTTGCACAAAGCAGCAAAACCGGATCGAATGATTGTATTTCACGTGAAAGAAAACTATCAGCATCACACTCACTTGGTGATCGGCTTGACAGACGCTTCGATGTACATCGATGGCAACATTCGTATCGCGTCGTACATTCGCTGACCATCGTAACTCAACATTGACCCTATACATACGTGTATATTCACATCAGTAATGAATTGAATTCACGATTTTCAGAAGCGACTAGTAAGATTTAGTCCATTCGGACAAACTTAAACCAAAAGAATGGAACTTAATACTGATTGCTTCATTATCACGTATAAAGAGATAATTCGACTTCAACGAATTGGTGTAAAATGGTAGAATATTACGTATTCAAAACACTCCACAATGCACATACCAAGTTCTTGAGCAGTCATTTCACATAACTGATAAAACGAAAGTTTTTTGCGTTCAATTTTATCGTAGACATCGATACGCATACCTTCGATTTGTCTGAAATGAAAACAATTCATTTCATATGTGCTTAACACATCTCAAAGGAACACATGCTCCCGGTGAACTTATAATTAACATACCTGTGAAAGGCACGCGGCCGAACTACCCACAAACCATACGCTATGGCTAAACCCTAGTTTTGACTGAAGCTCACCCACCATAGGGGTTAGCCTAAATCTTACCACCTTGCAACTAAGGTTCGCCTCGGGTTCTCACTAAGGCTCATTCAGGCCTTACAATGAGGCTTGTAGCCCGGCCTCATCTCATGAACTTCAGTTACAAAATTACCTATATTCCTATCGACTTTATCGACAATAAAATAGTTACATTAATTAAGTTGAAATGTGAACTATAGAGAAAAAACAATTAAAGATTTAAAAAACCAATTAAATGTGAATACAACTCTCAACGATATCAAAATGAGAGAAAAGAAAACAACGAAATTATTAATTCCAAACAATTGAAAATGAATCAATGGATGCACCCACCTCAGCGGGGTTTGGAAAGGCCAAACTCTTTTCTCAAGGCATTTCGCCATACAAAGAAAAGCATTCGTTGCATGCGCCCATCCACGTCGTAAAACAATTTCGAACATCGCTCGGCACAATCTGCCCGAATTTTGCTCGATATACAACATTTCGGATAACAACGAGAAACTGCGAATGTTCACTCGGGACAAATACGCCTGCAGTGAATTGCTTCATAAACCGTCTGTTGATAATATTCTCTCACTTACAAATATCATACATTCGTTTTATTCACATGAAAAGCACACCAAAATAAATAATCCCAACAGACAGTCAACCATTAACGAGAAATGTTCTTTGTAAGTGAGAATAAACGGTGTGTACCGACCTGCATGAGACAATTAATTTTACCCGCCACAGTCGCAAGAGCACCCTGCTTTAAGCGAAGTGGACAATATGTCTTCAATTGTTCTAAATCTTCAGATTCTTCTTCGCGAACCTATAAATTGATAGAACCTCATAATTCAATTCACATATAATTCCAGTTCAGAAAAAAGACGAACTCAACTTTCGAAAGATGAGATTTGTTGAGAATTGAAATTTAATTTATGCATAACTGATTCGAAAATGTTGATCTTTCACAACGAGCGGAAGAAATGAATGACGATTCATTAATTCATTTTAGAAAATTTCTCCATTCATCAACACTGACTATCAAAAGTTTCAAATTCCAGTGAAAAAAATCCATCGATAAAATAATGAATATTTTGAAAGATAAATTAACTGCATACCCTAATCTGGCTGAATTCGGATGCATTCGCGATCAGATTGATCACATTATCGTCGGTCATTAATTGCGTCAATTTCACATTACCAACTCCCGTATTCAACATCTCAATCGTTTCAAATTTGACGTAGTAATGCGATGCGATACGTCCCAAATCTGTTGCGTTCACGAAGCCGTTCCTTAAAAACACTCGCAACTATGCATCTTTTCACTCGTTGTATATCAAAGCAAACAATCCATGAAGACGACACTTACACACTGTCAAATCGTATCATTTGATTCATATCCAGTTTTTCAGCAGCTTCATTCATAATCTTCGTTAAATAGTCCTTCAATTCAGGATCATTTTCCAGCTGATTGTAGGGGATACCGTATGCAAGAGGATTCAGTTTTGATCGAATGGAATAGTACGAATAACTCAACCATTCCACTGCCTCATTTATATTCGATACCGTACCTGCAACAATCAAATACTTCTTCAATCTCTTCACAATTAAGAAACAATCGCCGATTACGATCATATTACAATTTCAAATTCATGATCGATTAACGCAACATTTCGATGACGATTCTCTTCAGACTGATGCGCGCACCACAAACAAAGCATTATTTTTTGTTGTCAATTCATTGCTGTACAATTCTCAAAATGATCGATCACTTCAAATTCACTTTTTCTAATATTACCCATTTTCGATCAATCAGTTCAACTCGAACTTATGATTTCATGTGGAACGATAAGCAATGATTATACATTCATAAAACATAAAAACAAACCCAACGCAATTTCCGCATTCAAATTGTCATGGATATGCGCCATAAATTGACTTTCGATTGGTGTCTGTCGTATCAACATATTCAGATATTTATCGATTTTCTTCTGCCACGTTATTATCACACCGTGACCTGATGAAAGTTATAACGCATCAGCTATTCAGTTTATCTTGATATTTGACGCAAAATTGCTTTCACTGAATGGAAAATGAAATGAACAAGCGAATGTTTATTCTCTTAAAGAACTCCAATACCTGAACTTTCGTACTGCGGTCGACCGGCTCTTCCAAAAATCTGTTGCACATCCAACACACCGATATCCGTGAACGCACCTTTTTGGGCATCGAACACATCGGTTCCCTTCAAAATCATCACAATTATATATGCTCGATTATTCACCGACGACATACATCAAATTTTCCAAATTTCTTCTACTCGAATGCCATTCATTGATAGCTCAATTACAAACATTCCAGGAAGCAATAAAAGTATATGCAAACAGTATTCATGATGAAATGAAACTATTCACAATGACTGCAAAAGAAACGAACCCTGATCACAACGGCATGTGCCGGCAGGTTAACACCCCAAGCGAGAGTTGCCGTACAAAACAGTATTTTAATATGACCGCTAGCAAACAGCTTCTCAATCATAAGACGATTACGTCTCGGTAAACCAGCGTGGTGAATACCGAATCCGAATTGGAACAGTTCAATAAGTTGCAAATTGTGAGAGGACGTCATCTGAAAACTTTTTGAATACAACCAGAAATTGATGATTATCTTTGTCCATTCTTTCAACTGATCAAACGAATGAATTCAAAACGGAAGATGCTAAAATAAGAAATAGCAAAATGAAAATACCGCTTTTTTGGATGCCATATAGCCTTTAGTGGTTATGTTCGATGGGAGAAAATCATCGAAGTGTCCCTTCAAATAAGCAATCATTGACGAGTTCATTTACGAGTGAATAAAGACCAGATTTCCATGGAATGAATATAACGAAGTTGCGATTCAAAACACAAACCAAAAAAAAGACCAACCAATCTAGAGGATTTATCCCTGAAGAAACTCGCCAACTTAGCCGTTGCATTTCTGGCATGAACGAATACGAGTACTTGATGACCTTGTTTCGCGAACTGATGCACTTTCTCATAGCAAACTTCGTCCAATTCAGCCGATGAGAACCTCGACGACGATAGACTTCCAACTGGCTTTCGAACACCAATGAAGCTGAAATACCTTATGCTGTTATATCATTTACGCAATTCGATANGAACTTACGTTTGTGCAAGTGGAACGGGACGGAAACGGCTATCGAAGAAGAAGAGACCTTTGTATGGATTAACTCTCAAGAATCTGGCCACATCAACATAATTCGGTAATGTTGCCGACAGTCCAATTATACGTATACCTTGCTGACTCATTTCAACCTTAACAAAAGTCGTAACTTCTAGTTTCAATTAAATCAAATAAATGACAGAAACAAACCTGTCTCAACGTTCTCGCAACGATCGTCTCAATAACGTGCCCTCGATCATCGTGCAGCAAATGCACCTCATCAATTATCAGCAACCTCATCAACCTCGCCAACGACGTTTCACTATCTTTCCGTGTTACAACATCCCATTTTTCTGGTGTTAATATCAGCATCTGCAATTTGCATTGTCTTCACATTATAAGACCAAAATTTCATTCACTTGGCGACATTTTTTATTTCATCACATTTCTCACCATTACATACTCCGTCAAAATTACAATGCAATGTGAAAATAACAAACTGACCAGAAATAAAGTCCAACTGATTATCTTACTCTTACAATTATTATGCGTCAACTATTCAAGCTTACAGCTCCAACCAGCAACACAATCAAATACTTCCGAATGCCAACAAACATGTTTCACCGACCTGTGTTTCAGCAATTTCTCGCTTTGATAAAGTCGTATCACCGGTTAATTCGCGAACCTTCAAACCAACTTCAGACAATCGTTTACTGAAGTTGCTCGTCATTTCAGTGGCAAGTGCTTTCATCGGCGCTATGTATATTATCT